TCCAAATGTTTGCTATATGTCAGTCATGTTGCTAATCCCTTTAAGTATATTGATTTATCTAATTCTTATTATACGTTTATGACTTAACTGTTATTATTCCCAAGTATACACAAAAAGAAACACAGGGAATTTAAGCCACTCATCCAGTTCACTCATCTGGTAAGTGGTACAACCAGGATCTAAATACCAGCTGTAAAGCCTTCTCTATCACTGCCTTATAAGGAAAGGAAGGAAAATATTGCACATTAAAAAGATGATGGTCATATACGAACATTTAAAAGTCAGTGTAATTGTAGTCCTGTCAGCCCCAACAAAAACATAACTATTTTTATGAAAAAGACCTGCATCTACTGTAAACCTTTCCCACCCAGCAAAGGGCCTTCATTTCCCAACCACATTCTGCCTCCAAGACTCCATCTGCTTCCTGTGGCAATAAGTTTCTGGAAATGTGTATTACTTGCCATGACAACTTAATGCCAGATCAAATAAGTTTACAGATACTCTATTATGTTCCGTAGTGGTAATCCAGAGGATGCAAGCTTCTATCTACCCTGACACAGCTCCACCAAAGTCCATTAACCTTTGGATCTCAACACAAGGAGAGACTTTCAGGGAGAAGACAGGTGAACACTGCTTACCTTATACAGCATGAAATACCTACCCATTGAGGTTCTGGAAAGAGCCCTTGTTAAGAACAGGTTCTGCTGGGAAAAGCCAAGTTCTCATTTGTTAAATGACTCATAGTTAAGTTCCTGGCAAATTTCCCCTAAGCCTTTCAACTCTACCTGAGAAGAGACACTGAATGTTATGCAAACTGATGACAGCAAAAGTTGCAAAATGATTAGGCTTCTTTCCTAAAGTTTGTGACTTTCTTAATATTCCCCTTAGGAATACTACCACACTATAAAAAAAGTGAATCAGAAAATATGGCAGGATGTAGGAAAAATGAGAGGTTATATTTCAAAATTGACAGTGAAGTAAAAATATCCTTTCACTAGGAATGGAAGCATAATTTATTCTTACTCTTTTTACTTTTCATGAGAATATATGACCTATTTACTTTTTAAGAATATATGTTACATGTATATTCTTCAATCATTTTGCACTGTAGACAAAGATATCTAGATATAAATTTTTCTCTTATTTTAAATATAAGAAGTCACTGTAAATAAAAATACAGTATGTATCACCAGAATAAAATTCTTGCTATATATCCACAAAATAACTCATAATAATCATATTTATATTTTAATTAATAATTACTGAACTTAACTTTTCATTAAAATAATTGCTTCTCTTTGGGGGAAAAATCAATTTGAGGTATTCCAAATACATCTTTGACTAGAACAATAGTCTTAAATTTAGGAGCATTTGTTCAAATTTTATTTGGAATGCTTCTCTTATAGTAATTCTAAGGAGGACTTATACCAATACAGTTTTTAATAGTTGTGATGAGGTAAATCTCTGTTTCACAGGACAAGGGAATGGATATTAGGATGTAGGTGAATGAAAAGGGATTTTTATATACCCTGTAAATAGTATGACCCAATTTCCTGAAAACCCACGCCATCATTTTCTCCACTCTCTACACCACACCCTTAAATTTATTAATGATGTCTTTCTCTTCTTATAAATAGTAAAATCTTTTCTTACATTAGAAGGGGAATTCCCCATGAGGTGACCTGAAAATCAGAAACAATTGCTATGTATCCTCTATGCAAATAACATTGCTATTTATTGACTTAATCCAAAAGTCCTTGTTCAGATCTGTATTCATATGTGTATATATCTTTCTGTATTTCTTAATGTTTCCTTTAAAACAATTATATTACCTTTATAAAATTTAGATGGTCTAGTATGGAGATATGTAACTATGTATCTGTGCACATTTAATGTGCAGTTACTTTGTAGATCTGGGGAGACATCTCAAAAATAAGCAATCCTACTCACAGTAAGATAAAATTTATTGTAAAAGATATAAGGATAAGTAATATAAAGAGAATCATTCCGTAAGCATTGGACTTTTATGGAAAGAGAAACCATATTTCTAAATGTGAGCCCCAGGTATACAAATTTTAGGTGCTACTTAGCAATACAGAGCATTTTCATATGGGCCAATGTAGTAAGCTCAATGGTGACATAAATTTATTTTCCACAGAGTTATTAGTCATGTATTTAAAAATTATGATTGCTTTTACCCAATCAAATTATATGTATGTGTGTAAATATAAATTTCATTCATCTTATAAAAGAGAAATTTTCTGCAAATTTTCCTCCTATTCAATAATTTTTGAACATTTGCATTAATTTGTGTTTTTAACATTTTTATGTGAACTTCCTGTTATTTATGTTAGACTTGGACTTCCAAATTGTAATGAGTTAGTAAGATTTTGGAAGGCATTGGACCTCCAGGTGTCCCCCATTACTACTGTGATTTCCGTTGTGCATTTTATTTAGTAAGGGTATTCTATATAGAAGCAAATGTCTGACTGCATTTTTCAAATATTAAGTGACCATTTTAGATTCACACTTTGTAGTGAGTCTTATAGCAAGGGGAAAACAGACCCCAAGGAGTCAGTAATGGAAAAAAACAGAAAGAGTAGTAGATTTTGGTACTGCTTTTCATAAATAATATCATAAATGATCACCAGTCTGAGACTTTAAACTATTTGGCATATAAAAAAAGTAGTAGATTAAAGATGTAAAGACCAAACTCTTACTTAAGTGAGAAGGTTCAGTTTTCTTCATATTTGGTCAAAACCTTGTAGATGAAGAACAATAAAATGCCACGCTATCTTTCTAGGAGGAGTTAGGGATAAATACAATAGAATTAAATAAAAATGAATACCTCACTAAGCTGACCTGAAGATTATATCATGATTGGCATTATTCCATTTGCATTGACTGCAATGCAGAACAGTAGAAGCCTAGGAGAAGACATTATTACCCAGAAAGGGGTGTCTGCCTTTTTGCATCAAAAGCCAGTGTGTTCTCCTTGGATACAAAGACAGCACCCCAATAAGTGGGTTTCCTCACCAAGTCTGAGAGTCAAGGGTGCTTACTTACTTCAGAGACCTGCAATATTCCAGCTGTTGGAAAGCCAGCAACAAATCAAATCAACAGGCTGTGCCTTTGGGATTCTCACAGCCAAGTGGCACATATGACATGAAAACAAACAATTATGGTATAAAATGATATCCTGTAATAGAAATTTGTACCTAAGTATCAGGAGTTTAGGGAAGCAACAGCCAATTTCATCTTGGGAGTCACAAAATTTGAACTGAGTAACGAAGAATGAGAAGGAAATGTATTTGAAATGTATACCTGGTAAAAAGGAAGTCAGAAATAGTGAGAGAGAGGGAGAGTCTAAGACACATAAATGTTCATGGAGAGATGAAAGAGCATGGCAGACCTAAGAAACTGCTGTTTTTTTCATGGAAGAAAACAAAAAGTGTCTGTAGGGAAATGGTGGGTACAAAAGTATACAAGTACCTTATTAAGAAGAAACTTGGTGGAGTTTGGGATTTATCCAATAGGCAGTAGCAGAACACTAGAGAGTTTTAAAGACAAATTTATGTAATTAATTTGCCTCTTAGAAAAAAAAAGATTTTTATTCAATATAAAATGGATTTCCTGTTAGTAAAAAGGACAATATTAGAGGCAGAGCCTAATTAGAGATGTGGTAATATGATGAAATCACAGCAATTGTGAGATTATCCTGCCAAGAGCTTCTTAATCAAAACTCTAGCGATAAAGGACACAAAACACTTGGCAATAAATTTGTAATGGGAAAGACTAAAATTTAATTTAAAAAAGTGATATTTCAATAAACTTTCTTGCTAATATACTTTAATATGTTCACTTAGACCTTGATGAGGCTTACCTAACTCAGATTCATCTTAAGTTTGTCTGACTATGGAAGTGAAAGTTATGTCCTCATTTCTTCCCCAGATTCTGAAACAAATTGTTCCTACTCTATTTGGTTCTATTTATAAGAACTAAAAAGGGCTTTAACCTTGGTAAAGTAAAGGGGGCTGAGGTAGGAGGTACAAAAAGAAATAAAACCAAACCAAAACAAAACATTTTATTGCATTTTTTCCAAGGATTGTTGGGTATCAGTTTGCTTTAAGTGAAATGTGACTTTCTATGGTTATATCAATATAATAATCTAAATTTATCTTTAAGAAGCCAATTGCACTTTCTAAATAAGTTAATATATGTGCCATTTATTATGCACTTTGCTACATTTTTAAAAATAAGAGCAAGAGAAGATAATTTTATAACAATAAATTTTGTTGATTACTATCTTTGTTTTTCTTATAATTATTCCTTTGAATATTTGAGAACTGGAGTTAATTATTTCCTCTTGACTTAGAATTTCAAGTATATATTTGGCATGCAAACTATAGTATATGGAAAATACAACATCAACAATTAATAAGTAAAATCACATGATCATGTTTGAATCTTTTATTTTTCCAATCTGAGCTTCCATAAGCCCTTTTCTATTATTTTTAAATTATTCCAATTCTAATAACTACATGGAACTATTGCCAACCAAAAATCAATACTGTTATTTTCAACACAGATTTAGTTCTCAACCACAAAATAATGATTTAGCAAGATACCAATTTATTTTTAATGATTGAATTTATTGGAATGAAATTTCATTTGTGCTAGAAAGATTCACTCATAGTCATTATGTATTAACTCTAGGAGTATTTTTCGTCAGAAGATGATGACACACAAATGACACCCTAGTAACATAATAGACATGATTGATTACAGGGAGGTGACTAAAATTTCTAAAGTGTATCCAGTTGGATTACTTGTGTTATTCTTTAGGAATGATTCAGGAAATGGTCCTAGAAGTATTGCATGGATATATAGCTCTCCACACTTGGCTTTCTTGGGCAGTGAGAATGTCTGAGCTTCCAGCACATTGACCCGCGTGTGGATATAGCGATCACAGTCTATTGACTTCTTTGTCTATTTGGATCATGAAGTGGATGAAAATACTTCTGGGTGTTCTTCTCTTTCATCTGTCTCTTTCTCAGTCTCCCCAAGTGTAAGTGATTGCATAGAATTTTGTTATTTCATGTGGAACCCAAATAGAGCTTGATATTAAAAATCAGAACTTGTTATGTTTTTATTGCAGTGATTAGATTTTAAATATATCCTTACATAGCATAGTAAACATGTTAATTTGTATAATGAATTCTGAATTTGAATGGTACCATTATCACTGTTGGCATGTCTGCTGATTGAATTATAACACAATATTTATACCAATGAAGAGATGTCAAACAATTGCTGGGGGAAAAATGCTAGACAAACACTAGGCAAAAATGAAGTGGAATGTGCGTATCAGTTCAGGAGCAAAAGCATTGCATGAAGACACAGATGGTCATTTTCATAGAACTAATGACAAATTACTTGCTTTTTTGCAAGTGGTATTATTCTTGTTGAATTCACAAATTCAACTCTCAGGCAGCATATTCCTATTTCATGAATTTGACATCCTCTAATTTAATATGCTGTATGTCTCTAACATTGAGAAACAATACGTATTTCTTAAACTGCAATCCTTTAGATAACTAAATAATAACTAAGTATCAAATAATTTCTTTGACAATTTTAATGTTCCTGCTTAAATTTTGTAGGCAGTATGTTCTGCTGGTCCCTTCTGTTCTCCAAGAAGGCTCTTTGGATAAAGCTTGTGTTCAGCTTTTTAATGTGACTGAGTTTCTTGTTTTGACTATCTCCATCAACTATGGTGAGGTCCAGACCAAAATACTTGAAGAGCAGGTTACAGGAGAAAATGTCTTCAAATGCTTCAGCTTTGAGGTAAACATTTCATTCTGCTCACTATAGAGAAAATACTGCAGGGGCATGAAAGGCACCCACAAAACTGACTTTTAAGGACAAATGTTATTTGCCTGTCTATATAAAGTTATTTTAATGTTTTCAAAAACAATATACTCCTCAGTTTCAGATAATGTAAGTACAGTTATAAATGGAGGCAAGGAGAAAAGTCTAACTATTTACTATTTTAAAAGAAATTTATTGAAGAGAAGAAAACACACACACATACACACACACATACATACACACAGAGAGAAATGGAATATTTTAAGAAGGCTAGAGATGCAGCTCAGTGGTAGAGTACTTACCTAGCATCCTAGCATGTACAAGGATCTGGGTTCAATCCCTAGTACCATCAACAACAACAACAACAACAACAACAAMAAAAAAAGATAAAGGAGAATTCCTTTAAATGATGAGATAATTTATCTAAATGATGTGATAGAAGCAAGAAAAATGAACAAGGTGGGTTATTCAATAAATAGAAACAACAAGTTATGGATTTAAATTCACTGGTTAATAATGCACAATTAGTCATGGAGATCTCCTGACAAAACACCAGTCTCATGAAGTATGTATTAATTTGCTCCCTAGGTTCCTCAGGCCAGATTGGACCCAGTGGCTTTCATCACATTCTCTGCTAAAGGAGGCACAATCAATCTGGAAGAGAGAAGAGCTGTGGCAATCAGCCCCAGGGAAAATGTGGTCTTTGTGCAGACAGATAAATCCATCTACATGCCTGGACAGAAAGGTGTGTATACCTACTCTCTGTTATCCTCAGCTAATATCATTTATAGAATGTTTAAAATGATAGTACACAATACAAGCTCAGAAAATTTATTACATTAAAATATACTAGGGAGATTGCTTTAAAATACAAAATAGCTCATGTTACCTAAATGTTTGAAATTTGATTTCAGTATCTCGGGTAGGGAGCCTCAGAAACTATTTTTAAAGAATTTCTCAATATTCTACTAATATCTAGTAATGTATATGTTTGGAAACCATGACATTTCAACTTATGTGAATTTAGGAATCATGGTTTAATTAGAAATTAAAGAGCAACAAAGTGTTTCAAGAACATATTAAGAGCCAGGCAAAGTGGTGCACAACTGTAATTTTAGCTACTTTGGAAACTGAGGCAAGAGGATCACAAGTTCAAGGCAAGCCTGGACAACTTATAGCAAGAGCTCCTCACAAAATTATAAAATGGGCCAGGGGTGTAACTAAGTGATAGAGTGCTTGCCTAGCATGCTCCAGGCCCAGTGTTCAGTTCTTAGTATCAAAAATACACATGCACTCAGAGAGAGAGAGAGAGAGAGAGAGAGAGAGAGAGAGAGAGAGAGAGAAACGAAGAGAGATGTTCTCCTAGTGGCTAAGTAATTGCCCTGCATGGTGTTGAATTAAACTGAAAAGCCTTCTCTCGTCTCCTGGGTTTAGAAAGAGATCAGGAACACAGCTAAATCTTAAAAAGGCAGACATTTCTCATGAACTAATGGAACACAGGAAAACATGGAGGTAGAATTAATTCAAAAGCTAGACCTTAAAATGTTAAAGAGATAAACTTATTTGCAGTAGAAAAAATAAATGGAAGGAATAAGAAATGAAATAAATGACAGTTGACGAAAAGTCCTGATTGTGAGCTGAAGTGGCATTTTCATGTAGTTGAGCAATATCTATGAGGCATCACTATGGCTTTGGGGATTATGCCATGATGAAACACTTTGAGGATTATTCTGAGAAATCTGCACATATTGTTATAGCACATCTTTTTTTAAGCCACTAGTAGTTGTGATGTTGTAATGAGTAGCACAATGTGCTTGGACAAGAAGAGTGGACATGAACATAGAGGAAAGGTTTGAGGAAAAAAATAGACCTGAGTGCTTTTATACTTCTGCTCCTCAGACAGGCTCCTTTTAAAAAAGAATAAACAAAAAAATTAAAAATATTACTTCTTTTGACATACGACAGGATCATGTTCTCATTAGACTTGCAAGTATGATCCTGTTGAATAATAAATTGAGATTTAAATATTTATATGTCTGTAATATAATATACGGTGACATTTATTTTTGATATACATATTGGGAAAATTCCATGCACTCATATATTTAAAGTTTAATGAAACATGCTGTTAAACCATTTTCATGTGTCAGTTAAAAATATATTTCATTTATGTGATGATCATTACTATCCAAAATATATTTATGAAGACACCAATTGGTGTGAATATTCTTTGTATACAACCAGAGATATCAAAAATTTTGCTCTATATGTGTAATACAAATTGTAATGCATTCTGCTGTCATATATAAATTTTTTAAAAAATTTTAAATATAATTCATTTAAACTAGATGTATTTTTTATTACAGCATTGTAAGTATACTTAGTAGTTGGGTTCATTTTGACAAAATCACACATGCAAAGAATTTTATTTCAATCCCCAACTTCCCCTCTTTAGCTCCCCCCACTCTCTCCCACTACTCTCCTTTCTCTGCTCTACTGATTTTCTTCTCACTTCTCTATTTATTTTTGATTGGTACTTTTTACATATACATAATGGTGAAATTCCCTTTGGAATTTAACATGATTTTGTTGAATTCATTGGATATTTCCTTCCCTTTTCTGTTCTCCCTCCTTCCCTCTTATTCTCCTACTGATCTACTCCATTGAGCTTTCCTATATATTTATGATATTTGATCCAGTCCCCAGCTGCCTCCATTCTCATAGATAGATAGATAGATAGATAGAGATGTAGATACTTTTTTGCTCTGGATTTCACATTTGAGAGAAAAATTTGGCCCTTGATTTTTCCGAGTCTGGCTTATTTTACTTAGCCTAAGGTTCTCCATTTTCAAGGATTTACCAGCAAATGCCATTATTTCGTTCTTCTTTATGGCTAAGTAAAACTCCCTCATGTATATATACTACATTCATCTATTCACAGACATCTGGGTTGATTACATAATTTGACTATTGTAAATTGTGTTTCTATAAACACTGAAGTGGCCATATCACTATAATATGATGGTTTTCATTCGTTTGGATAAATACTAGGGAGTGGGAGAACTGGGCAAATGGTGGTTCCATTCCTAGTTTTTCAAGGAGTCTCCACACTGCTTTCCAGAGTGGTTGTACTAATTTGCAGTTCTACCAACAATGTATGGGTGTACTTTTTCCCTGTATCCTGGGCAGAATTTATTAGTATTAATGTTCTCTATAATTACCATTTTCACTAAAGTGAGATGAAACAGTGGTACAGTTTTGATTTGCATTTCCCTGATTGCTAGAGATGTTAAATATTTTTTTTCATATATTTCTTGACCATTTGTGTTTCTATTTTTAAGAAATTTCTATTTAGTTCTTTGGGCCATTTAATAATTTTGTTACTTGAGGGGTTTTGGCATTTAGTTTTTTGAGTTCTTTATATATTCTGTTTATTAATCCAGCTATTTGAAGTTTCTGTTCTAATTCCCAAGTCTTTGATGCATTTTGATTTCAATTTTGTACAGAGTGAGGAATAAGGATCTAGTTTCATTCTTGTATATATGTATATCTAGTTTTCCCAGTACCAATTGTTAAAAAGGCTATTTTTTTTCTCCAACATACATTTTTGACACCTTTATCAAGTATCAGATGACTGTACCTATGTCGGTTTGTCTCTGCGTCCCACATTCTATTCCATTGGACTTCATGTCTATTTTGATGCAAATACTATACTGATTTTGTTATAGTTCTGAAGTATAATTTGAAATTGGATATTGTGATGTCTCCTACATCACTCCTCTGGGTTAGAATTGCTTTGGCTATTCTGGGTATCTTGTTCTTTAAATTAATTTAAGGACTGTTTTTCTAGTTCTGTGAAGATGGTCACTGATATTTTTCTTGGAATTACATTGAATCCGTATAACACTTCTAGTAGTATGGGAATTTTGACAATATTTTAATTCTCCCTATTCAAGAACATGGGAGGTGTTTCCATCTTCTACAGTGTTCTTCAGTTTCCTCAGTGTTCTTCAGTTTTCATTGTACAGATCTTTCACCTCCTTGGTTAGATTAATTTCCAGATTTTTTTCAGGTTATTGTGAAAGAGATGTCCTTCTTGAATTCTTTCTTAGCAGAATCACTGTTGCAGTGTAGAAAATCTATTGATCTATGAATGTTGATCTTGTATCCTGCTACTTTGCTTAATTCATTTATCAGCTCTAGAAGTCTTCTGATGTAATTTTTTAGGTCTTCTAAATGTAGAATCATGTCATCAGCAGAGATAGTTTGAGTTCTTTTTCCATTTGTATCCCTTTAATTTGCTTCTCTTTCTTGATTCCTTTGCCTAGAGTTTCAAAACTATATTGAATAGAAGTAGTGAGAACGGACATCTTTGTCTTATTCCTAATTTTAGAGGAAATGCTTTCAGTTTTATTCCAATCAGTATGATGCTGGCTTTGAGTTTGTCATATATAACCCTTATATTGTTGAGGTAAGTTCCTTCTATCCCTAGCTTGTCTAGCATTTTTAACATGAATCTGTGCTGGATTTTATCAAAAGCCTTTTCTGCATCTATTGAGAAGATTGGATGAATTTGTTCTTCATTCTATTCAAGTGGTGAATTATGTTTATTGATTTGCATATGTTGAACCAACCTTGCCTGATAAAGTCTACTTGATCATGATATATTATCTTCTTGAAATGCCTTTGAATGTGGTGTGCTAATACTTTGTTGCATCTATGTTCATCAGGGATATTGATCTATAGTTTTCTTTATACATCTTTGCCTGGTTTTGGTATCAGGGTGATACTCACTTTATAGAATGTTTGGAAGTAGTCCATCCTTCTCAATTTTGTGGAATAGTTTGAGAAAACCTCCTATTCGTTCTTCTTTAAAGGTTTGGTGGAACTCAACTGAGAATTCATTAGGTTTGTGGTCTTTCTTTTTTTTTAAGAGAGAGAGAGAGAGAGAGAGAGAGAGAGAGAGAATTTTTAATATATATATATATATATTTAGTTTTCAGCGGACACAACATCTTTGTTTGTATGTGGTACTGAGGATCGAACCCGGGCCGCACGCATGCCAAGTGAGTGCACATCCCCAGCCCCGTGGTCTTCCTTTTTTGGAAGGTTTTAATTACTGTTTCAATTTCACTACTTGATATTGGTCAGTTTAGACTTTCTATATCTTCTTGGTTCAATTTGAGTAGGTCATATGTGCCTAGAAATTTGTCAATATCTTCTAGATTTTCCAATTTATTAGAATATAAATTTTCAAAGTAGTTTCTAATGGTCCTCTGGATTTCAGAATTGTCTTGGTGATATCTCCACTTTCACTTCTGATTTTGTTTACTTGAGTCTTCTCTCTCTCTCTTTTTTTTTTTTTTGGTTCATTTGACTAGGAGTTTATCAATTTTATTTATCTTTTCAAAGAATCAACTTTTGTTGCATTGATTTCTTGTATTCTTCTACTATTCTCAATTTCATTAATGTTGGCTTTGATCTGTCTTAAACTGATTTTAGAATTAGTTTGTTCTTCCATTTCTGAGTCCTTGAGGTGGAATATTACTTTATTTACTTGGAATCTCTCTTTTTAAATTGTAATTTAAATGTAGGCATTCAATATTGAATAATTTTCCTCTTAGAACTGCTTTCATACTGCCCCACAGATTTTGATATAATATGTTGTATCTGTGTTCTCATTTGTTTCTAAGAATTTCTTGAATCCTTGGGGCTGGGGATGTGGCTCAAGTGGTAATGCGCTCA